GCAGCATACACCGCTCTTTCCGTCAAGGAAGGAAAGATTTCCCGTGTGTGTTTATATTTGAGTTCTGGATAACGGTGTGTGGGTGTGTGTGTGTGTGCGAGTGTGTTTGTGCGTGTGTGTGTGTGAGTGTTAGGGGTATTGTTGGAGAATTCCTTATCTGCCTTCCCTTCTCCTTCCTGCTATTTCCCCGTAGACAAGTCCGTCTAGTTTTTCTGTAACACACTGTAACATTTACTTCTGTGATTTTGTCGCAACTCGCGTTCTTTCGCAGACTGTAACGGTGTTCATAAAAAGTACAGCAAATAAAGACTCCCTGAGTCACATGTCTTTTATAATGAAGGATAAACTTCGGCCCCTGGAGTCAAATACTTTTACACAATGATCCGGTGTGTTTTTGTGTCGTGTGTATATTTTTCAGAGTGGGTGTTTGTTACAGCCGTGGCGTTGGGCAGTGTGTTATTCATCCTGTTTTTCGGGATTTGCTGGTGTCAGTGTTGTCCTCACTCCTGCTGCTGCTACGTCAGCTGTTGGTGCTGCCCCGACACATGCTGCTGCCCCAGACATTGTGGGTATAAAAAAAAAAAGTTCAAAATACAAACCTGTCATAAAAGAAAATGCTTTATGTGATATCTCAATGTGTTTTGTTTTTTTTTCATAGTGTACGAAGCAGGGAAAGGTATAAAGACACGTACCGCCACCCCTCAGACACCGGCCTACCCTCCGTACTTTGTCACTGGTGTGCCCACCATGCTACCCATCGCTCCACCCTCTCTCCTGGATAAGATATCTTCTGTTCCCCCCTCGGAAGGCACTATGCTGTCAACAGGTGAGGTCCTCGTCTGTAAAAAGCAATAGTTATTTCATCACATTTGTTTAGAGATAACGACGATGTAGCTTGAAATGTTCGAGGAAGTTTAAGAATCCTCTTCTTACATGGGCCTTGTTATTTGGTTCTTCTCCTAACAAAAACATCTTTTAGAGCAGGGGTCACCAACATGGTGCCCGGGGTCACCTGGTAGCCCCCCATGAGCTACCTAAGGTGTCTGTAGGGTATGTTCTAAAAATAGAAGTAGTCAACAAGAGGGTCACAATATGTACTGTTACTGTGCTTTTTGAATCAGTTCCACCTGCAGTGATATTCAAATGAGTGCAATGACGACGGTAAGAAGAGTGTCTACTATTGTATGTCCCAGAACTGATTATTTTATTGTCCAGGAAGTCTGTATCAAACAAGTAGCTCTTTGCATTACTAAGTGCCCTTGAAGTAGCTCTCAGTTTCAAAAAGGTTGGTGACCCTGAAGAAGGTGACATAAATTTCTGGTGTTGTGAGATTTTTTTACAAGGACAATAACTGATGCAAGGACTCACGCACTTGGCTAAAATGTGAGTAATCTTAACTTTCGGACCAGACGTGAAGTGCACACACGGTCCATGGAGAAACACTCAGGAATGTAAAGGAATCTTATGTATTGTCTCAGTGAACTGTAACGAAAATGCAGCCAAAGGTAGAGGTTTCCTGTGCTGATTAGTCAAGTGTGTATCTCCAGCACCGATGCATGCTGTAGGTCTCCCCTACCGCGTGCCGTCTCCTCAGGATCAGGATTCTCTCAGACTGCTACAGTATGTAGAGAAACAACTGGCTCACTTCAACCCTGCTGCATCCATCAGCCGTCAGTGTAAGATTTAAAAAACAAAAACAAAAAACGATTGAAATCATTCATGATCTATCCTTGATATAGAGGCTGCATGCTCCATTGATTTAACCTTGATTTTCCAACTTTCTTTCTTTTTGCTTGCCTAGCATACATTTCTGTAGTCTCGGTTTTTCCATCACTATTTCATGATTGACTTGCAGCTCTGCATGTCTCCTTCCTTGGAGGAAATTCTAATGACGTTCATCCTTTCCAGTTTTTTTTCCATTTAGGAAAACAAACCACCTTCAACCTTTTCATTTGGTGCTTATATATATTTGTCAATGACTAATCCTCTGACCTCTCCAGCCTGCAGTCTGTCTGAACTGAGCTCTCTCCACGAGGGAGAAAACGGCTTCCATCACACGTATCGAAACATCCAGAAGAAAGCTCTGCCCACCATCCCCGACCAGGATCCTCAGCCTGAAACTCAGCGCTTTTGTAACAACCGCAGCCCAGTCCCGCAGCGTCTCGTTGACCACGGCAGCCCAGAGCACCAGCGTTATTGTGACAAACCGCCGTCCCCTAAGCGTTTTAATGACCACGGTGAACCTGCACATCAGCGACGACACAGTGACGACCACTCACTTCCTTCGCAGTTACAGAGACCGGGCTGTGATCAGCAGAGACATCCGCACGACAGAGAAGACAAACACAACAGGTACAAACATCTCCAGTTCTTTTATGATCATTCCCTTCATACACACACACACACACACTCTGGAAACTCTGACTTGTCTTTTTCTTGGACCGTTCACTGCAGGTGGAATCCTCGCTCGGAGCACTTGGAAAGAAAAACGTACCGCGCAGCTGAAAGAAGAGGTTCGCTGGATGAGCTGGAGGAGTTTGCCTCTTTTCACAAGCTCAGAGCGGGTAGAGGTACAGAGAAAAAGGCGGAAGATCATGGGGAATATGAGATGGAGCGCCTGGAGTATTGTCGATATCCTTCCCACCGTAACGGTCCACCTCAGCACTATTACGAAGAAGAAAGTGAGCTCAGGGGTAACGCGAACGAGGATCATACGAGAAGAGGCCGGAAAAATAAAAACAACATAAGTCCACTTCCTTCACCACAAAGGAGGAGAGGCACCTGGGATAATGACCGTCCCGTTCCCGCTCCCCCTACAGTAAGTCCATCATCTTCTGCACAGGAGAAGGACTACGATGCCGTGTTCCTAAATAGTCTGCTGGAGCGGAAGGCTAAGCTGCGTGGATTCGGCAAATCGAAAAACGCCGACGATTCAGACACGCCGTCAAAGGGAAGCTCGAAGAAGAGCAGCAGCGAATCCACTCGGTATTGCGGCCACTCACCGAGCAACAGACCTGAGGTAGATTCACTGCCTCCACATTTAGACACAGGGAGGAGCAGGACTGATCGACAATCACCACGGCCACCGGCTGCACGATCCTCCCCGTCTCCATGTCTGTCCGTCCCCAACAGTAGAGAGGAGTCGAGAGACAGATCTCGAAAAGTGGTGAGTTATCATCTACAGTAATTAAACACTGATTTTATATTTGGAATTGATGATAAATGAACACTTGAGTTTAATTCATTCTGACCCTCGTCTCTAGTCACTCCTCCCTGCCTACACCCTCACATTCACATTTTTGTGCCCTGTTCAGTCCTAGGTATCTAACCTCACCCACCCAAACTACATCTGCTTCTCACTTGTTGAGCTTTCCACCTGTTTCCCTCTCATTCACACATGTGTAATAAATCAGGGCTGGAAACATTTAACATTTTTAATCTTGATTTGTTGCGTGATACTCTGTTAGTAATGATGATTAATCATATTGTTGCAGAATTCAATAATTAGTAGCAGTAGTATTTTGCAGAGTATTAATGAAAAATGCTGATATGTGAACAAGAGTTCAAGTTAGTTCACTAACACTTCAGACTTCAGACTCCTATATTGTTTATTTTATTGAATTACATGTGTGGTTTATTGTCACCACATGTAATTATGAAACATCTCCCACTAACTTGTACTTACTCCTCAGTTTAACAACTTTTTGAAGAAAAAAAAACACTTATAAAAAAAACAATATATACATAATACACAAAATAATATTGTGTCATATCTAGGGAGGTTAATCTTATTAACTCATTATAAATCCTGATGAACTTTACATAATCCACCCCCTTTGATTAATTAGATTGAAGATGCTAACAGTCTGACGGCTCTAATATAAATACAAAACAATTCAAAACAAATGTTTCAGTTCAGGTCGATCACCGTACTTTGTATTGACTTCAAACAGGATATTCCTTAAAATGCATTTTTCCTTCATATTTCCTCATTTTTTTTGACAGGTCAGGTTCAGAAGCCCCAGTGAGGACTAGGTAGATCATGTAACAGTTACTAATTATTCACCATATATATATATATATAGGTATATATATATATATATATATATCTCAACTAATTGGCCTTGGTGCTCAGAAAGAGCATTAATATGAACCAAATAAATCAGTTCCTACCTCCCCCAAACTTAATTGTGATTAAAATTCAACATTTTCCTTTGTTTCCTTTTCTATGATATTAATGAGTCATTATTAAATAATGTTTTATTATAGGATTTCTAAACACAAATATTTCCTTTTACCTTTTTACTCATTCGTGATAAATGATAATGTTCACCTTTTTAGACTCCCCATAAGATTTTTTTTCTCCCTGATCTCCTCCCGCCTCGTTCCACTGACCACAATGTTCATAAACGTTTTTGAACTGTTATTTTTGTTCCTTTTTCTTCACCAGAACACTCACCTCAGCCGAGATTCTCTTATCGTGTGAATGACTGATGAGAGCCTTGGATCAGATGGAACAAGGTTCACTGACACTACATATTACACGTATGTCAGAAAAGAACAGGATATCAGTGTTTATTGTTGAAACCTCGGGATATTCTTCCTCAGTGGCTGAAGCCTGGAATCAATCTTAACATTTCTGGATTGTGCCAATCCACGAGTGATGAAGTCATCTTTGCCTCATGACGTCTTTGCTGGACTTACATTAAACTTGTGCATTGTTTCTGCTCACTCCTCTCTTATTGACACTCTTATTAAGAAAACCTGACTCTGCCCTGAGCACAATGCTTGCATTCATTTCCATACAACGACACGGCCGCTGTACAAGAGCCTGGTTGTTGCACAGAAGGTACTGTATATGACAACGCTATTATATTAGAGGACACACTCTAGATTCAGTCAATGAATACAGGTCGATTTATTTCAACTATTGCTATTGTCCTTTACCAACAGTGTTTCCCAACCTTTTTTAGCCTCTTTTAGGAAAAGCCCATGGCGTATCACCAAACATAAATGTCACAAAATATATATGAAATAAAATTTCTAGTTCCAATTCACTCACAATTCACTTCCTGGGTATAAAACGTGGGCCTGTTTAGTTGAACACAACGCTAATAAACTTGCAGGAAAAGACACTTATGTAAAAAATAGAGAACACCATGTTTGTACTAAGGTGCCATTTGTTTGTGTGCAGTGTAAAGTGTACATATTCAATGTATGGGTGCGTGATGTAATATGATCATTGTAACATGCAAAGGATAACATTTTGCCTAAGTGTACAGTGTACATGTGTACTTTAAAATAAAGTATCTTAGTATGACTTTCAGCTTTCACATTCAACTCCCTTTGTTTACATCCTGTGCAGTCAGAGACGTCAAGGCCGTCCTACATGTGTTATGGTCTTGCATTTCCCATTTTATTTTGAATCCTACCTCCTGTGTTCTGTTCCCTCCTGTAGCTGCCTCCTCCACCGGGGTCCTGATAACATTTCTCTTCTGTCTGCATATTTACTGCATACTCTGTTGTGCCAGTTTGTTTCTGTCCTTCACTCAGTAACCCTACAGTTCATCTGTGATTCTCTGATTGCTCTGTTAATCTATCCTATCCTAGCCTTCTTTTCTCTTACATTTGCCTCATTGCCCCTTAGCTTCTTCTGACAATGGTACACTTACTAGATAGTCTTTGCTGTTAAGCACACAATAAATCCTCGTCACTAGAGGTAGGCCTGTTTTGCTCAGCCATCTATTCCTTCTGTATGGAGCGTCATAGTTTTTGTAATTTGGAGGCGAGAGAGATGAAGATGTTGAGATTTTCACTGGGAGTGACCTGAGATGATTAGAAATGAGCAGATGAGAGGTTCAGACAGCTAAGGTGGAACAGTTCTGAGGCAAAGTTAGAGAAGCATGGATGGTTCGGACATGTGCTGAGGAGAGAGATTTCATGCATCGCACAAAGGATGTAGATGAAGTTGTCAGGCAGGAAGAGCAGAGGAAGATCTCAGAGGGGAGAGTTGTGGGAGGGGGGAATGGGAAAGGATGAGATGGAGACAGATGATTTGTTCTAGTGACCCCTGAAGGCAACAGCAGAAGAAGATATCCTAAGGTTATGAAATCGAGAAGGAAATTCCTCATTAACTTTACACCTGTGATCCTTTGCGGTACGAACAGGCTGCTGTAGTTTCCTAATAATATTAAGAAAGAGAGGAGTGGAAGGGTGGAGTTCGGTTTTTTTTCCACACTGGAGCTTTGACATGTGGCACAACATTCAATCATTGCTCTAATTATTGGTCTAACCTTAATAGCAGTGTTATCACTGTCTGGTACCGGGGGAGTGTGTTTAAGTGTGTGTATGTGGCGGACGGAGGGGAGGGTCAGATATGACTCTGCCTGTGTAAAAGAGACAATGTGTAACCGAGTGATGACTCATGTCTTTGTTCATTGTTGTGACCACAGGCTGCATGTCCTCTTCTGTAAAAAAACGTGAGTGTTGCAACAACTGTTGGTTAAGTTAATAGATGTAAATAGTTTATAGAACGTCAGGGGAAAGAAACACGCATGATTGTTACAAACTGTATTGCTTTTGTCTTTGTGTACTGTAGTTTCTTAGGTCAGTGGTCTTATCCCTATTAAGATTATTAGCTCACGTATGAGACAATTATAATTAAATAACACTACATCTGGGATTTAAATTCAATTATATGATTATAATTATTAACATAAACACAGGTGCTTAGTTCAGCATCTTTTCCCCACTTGAGTTTCTCCTATTGATAACTTTCTGCCTATAGTGTTTTGGGGTCTTTGGTTGAATCTACCGCCACTATTTGCTATACAAAAAGATTTACATACACACACACACACATATATACAGTATATATACTCCCTGTAGCTGGTGCTCCCTGGTGTCAGCAGATTGCTGTAATGGGTGGGATCAGATCAGTAAAGACAGTGACTAAAGCTGGAGATTATGTGAGGAATGTTGGTGAGAACCTCCTTCCTTTACACAGACACCAGTAGGATTTACATCACATTATAAGGCAATGTTGTTTCTATTTTTGGTTTAGTTTCATAAATAACATAGATGGGAGAAACACACACACAATATATAATTCATGATCAAATTAAAATAGGCTGAAAAGGAGATAAATAGATAGATAGATAGACAGACAGAGCCCCAGACCCCCTTTGACACACTTTAATAAAGTACTCTAATTATATGCCACCATTTGGTAGGTGTGTTGTGTAGTGAAACTCAAGTATGATTTTTTGTTGTTGTTGTTCGAAATAAAGACGTAATCAGTAAGGTTTTTGGCCAAAACAAGAAAAGAAAATGGGTGTTTCTTCGTGGGGAGTTTCACGTACGCAAACCCAGTGGAAACTGGACTTGACGTGAAGAGACGTCATTTTATACAAAAAGTGACATCTAGTGGTCTATTTTCACAGTTACACCTCTAGGTCTCTATAGCTATAGCTCTAGCATGTTCTGTAATTGAAATGCACCAGCTCTCGACAGCCACCCTGTATTTGGACTTATCTGATTAATAATAAAGGTGTGGTTAATCTGACATTTAAAAAAAATTAAAATTCCTAATTTATGTTTTTGTATGCTGCTGCTGTAAAAGAATTAAATAAATTGTATGTACATTATATTTAATTTTTCTATTTTATGTGAAAAATGCTTTGACTTTCTACGTTGAAATAAGGGTTATTCACAGAAGGTAGATTGTATTATCAGATGCGATATTTATTGTTATATGTGTTACTTATTAGATAGTAATCATGAGAATTTAAATTGTCTGCAAAAACATTGTAAACTACAACGCTACTATGACTCACATTCTCACTGTGACTCATATGATCCATCCAAGTGAAACTGGGTCAAGGGCTGTGATGAAACCCTGCTCTGTGGAAGGTAGCAGAAGCATCATTTAGAACTCTTTTCTAATGGTGACCAACTGTATTTCAACCTTCTATTTCTGTCAACGTGATCATTTTCTATGGACGAATCCACGGACAATCATAAATGACTAGTGATTTAATTTAGGAGGAAATAAATATAATTTTACATATATTTATGTACAATTTTAATTTCTAAACCAGCACACCTAAAGTAGAATCTCGTCAAGAATTGATATTTTATAAAGCCTTAACTTTTTGTTTGCATGTTGTTTATTACGGGGTTATAATGTACCGAACAAACAGAAATAAATACTTTCGCTTCCGGTGTCTTTGGGTTTCCGGGAGCGTACCTGATGTGACGTCACATGTTCACTTGATCCTACCTGTTTCGGGCGTGGCTTTACTCTCGGTCTCGGTCTTGCAGCACATAATGAGGCCGTGTTTTTTTGGCCTCAACCCGATCTAGAGGCCAACTGCGTTCGTGTGTGAATTGTTTTCAACCTTAACAGTTGGTTTATTTTACTTTACTTTCGTAGTTTTTTCGTTTTGGCTTTTGGTTGGCCTTGACTGTTACGTCATTGATCATGCCCAGTAAACCTGCCGCCGCGTTGCTCCTGTTGTCTTTGCTCAAAGGTAAGACTAATTTCTCCATAAATCTACACGATATTTTTTTTATATATTTAAGCATTTCAATATAGAGAGTGGATTTAATGTTGAGTTTTCAAACTTTGTGACTTAAAACCGAGAGTATCGGTCTCACGAAAAATGTTTTGCTAACAGAGATAGTTATCTAGTTGTTTAAATCTAAGTAAAAGTAATATATAATGTATTGTTAATGCGTATTTATGTTGTTTGTTGTTCTATTCGTTTTAATTTAGCATATAACTTACGGTATAAATCTCAGTAAAATGTTTCAGATAATTCAGCTGGTTTCATTCCAGCTTTTGAATGTTCCTAGTTTCACGCTCCACCATTTCCTGTTCACCTGTTTATCCGGTTCTTCCACCCTGTAAACAAACTCCTCAGTGAGGACAAAACATCACACACATTTTTTCTCCTTCCGTCACCAATGTACCAATTCACTTCTAACAAATATTGTAAGCTACCAACAGTTCCAGAACTGAACTTTTAAACAATGTTTGTGTGATTGTATATCCATGTTGTGTCTCCACAGTGTGTGTCTGCATTCAGGTGATTGTTCCCCAGCAGCAGCGCAGCACGGCTCTGTTTGCTTCGGTTACGCTCCGCTGTGACTACAGTACATCTGCATCCAGCCAAGATGTTATACTCACCTGGAGATACAAGTCTTTCTGCAAGGACCCAGTGCTGGAGTATTATTCCACAGGTAAGAGACGACACCCAAACGCACCACAAAGACTGTAACACTACACTGAAAGATGTGGTGTTAACCACTACCTTTTTCAGTGTTCTTTTCAACTGGATGGGTCTGACATAGCTCTATATATACATTGTTTTTAGTGTTTTGTCCTCTTTACGCTGTTCTGCACAGTCTAAAAATTGAAGATATTTGTTCTCATGTGGTATGATAATACTGTGTATTACTTCTTCTTATTCCTTTTGATTGTGCTCAGCCCTTGGTTGAGGTGTTAAGAAATTAAATGTCCACCATGCGTTTTTAGATGTGGTTATTTAACCCACGTTCAGACGTGCTTCACAATTCAATAAGATTTTACTTTAGATCTGAACACAGGGCACTTGGTGATAAGTGACATTCTAATTAACAGACTTTAAAATACACTAGCCAGCATACAAACACACTGATGAGTCTGATGCAACACAAATGTCTGCATGTGTCCGACAATATGGACGAATTGGGGAGATGATGTGAGCTGTTGTAGATGGATTGTACTGTATTGTGAAAACAACGTCAGCACATGTTTCACTCAGATCCTCTGCACTTTGCCGCGAATGTACTTGATCCGTGCTATAAAGAATTGTCGCGAATGTACTTGATCCGTGCTATAAAGAAGGATGCGGGAATAAAGCAGGACGCACGAGAAATGATCCACCAATTGGCGTTAATGCACTTTGTTTTTATAAGAGAACATATTTAATTTTACAATCTCTCAGTATGCCTGTACATTATCATATCATTATTATAATGTACACATAAGTGGGAGTACACAGTCATAGCCATAAATGCAATGGTACTAATAACTAGCATAATAATTTCTTTCCGTGTTTTTGGTTTTCCGCCTTGGTTTCCTCATTTTTGGTTACGGCCAAGAATTTTAATTACAGTGCATCTCTTCTTAAAATATACGCGTTCAAGCTAGTGTTGCTGAAATAGCCTCCTAGTTATTTTCAGTTGATTTACCAAGTCAGTCATTACTGAAAAGTTGCAAAACAAGCACAGCTAAATAAGATTGGACACATTACACATGTGAAAGACGATTTCCTGGGACTGCCAAACGGTGGTGTCCTGTAAGCAACACTAATGGCTTCGTCTTTGAGGGTGATCTGAAAGAGCACACTCTGGGACATGTTCCCAGATTGCACCATCATCTTCACTGATATTTCCTGGATCACTGTCATATTAGCTTATTTGGTTGTATGACTTTACAGCGTACCAGTCCGCGTTACATTAGCTTATTTGGTTGTATTAATGCATTCTTCACATCTGACTTTACAGCGTACCAGTCCGCGTTACAGTTAGGACAAGACCCGGCCAATGACTGTCCTGATCGTCAGCGAAAAGTGCGTACTGTGGTCCAAAAGAGAGGGTCCAGCGAGCCGATCCTGGGATCAGAGTATCGTGAACGAAAGATCTCCATCCAGAACAGTGAGTCATTTGTGTCTACCAGCACGGGAAAAGGAACTGAAATAAAGAAAGTTGTTGAACCGTCTCCGTTAGTTCACGTGTAATTTTGACGCTTTCGTTGAAATGCTGTTGTTAAAACAGAGTGCTTTCCCCTCCCTGTGTGTGTTTCAGAGGCAGATTTGGTGATAAATGAAGTAATGTGGTGGGACAACGGTGTGTACTTCTGCAGTGTGGATGCCGCCGGAGACACAACTGGAGACTCGGACAAAGAAATCAAACTCATTGTCTACCGTAAGAAAGACAAAGAAGCATGTGGTTTAATGCATGGTTTCTGATTTTATTTGTAGTCCCTCTAAAGGTTGGCAGCATGTACTTTGTGCATTAACACTGACCAAAAAAATATAGATTGATGTTGTAGATAAGGCTAATTGGATCCATAGTTATATTCATTGGTTTTTTTGTTTTTTTTCCCTCAGACTGGCTGACGGTGTTGTTCATCGTCATTGGAGCGCTGCTGCTCATCATTCTTTTTGGTGTCTGCTGCTGCCAATGCTGCCCCCAGAGTTGCTGCTGCTACGTGCGATGCCCCTGCTGCCCACAGCAGTGCTGTTGTCCAGAAAAAGGTAGGAAACGTTGACAATATCAAAACTTTGACCACATGGATAAAGATGCAGATTTTAACTCCACAGCAATAAAATTATTTTTGATTTACAATCATGATGGATAATATGGATTACATTTGGGTCAGTGTTGATGAACTTTTCTGTCCTCATCTTCCAGCTGTGATGCAGCATCGTATGATGAAAGAGGCCCAGAGAGCCATGAATCCCTGGTTAGGAGGGCAGCCTGTGTATGCACCGATGAGCCACGTCTCCTCACAGATGAACCCACTGCTGTATCCAGGTAACACAGAGTGACTGTCAGTGGTCGCTCAGGCCTTATATTTTTGATCAAAGGAGGAAATATTTCGAAAGGGGCTACACCAAGAACCAACAATTAGTTGAGCTGAATTCTGCTCTACAATTTTTTTCTACATTTAACTAGATGTCTTTATTGTTTGCATTCCCAGGAACTTCTTCTGCCAATAGCGTCCCTCTGAAGCCGATGCCTCTTCCTCATCCTCAGTCCTCGGCCTACAGTGTCCCAGCTCCCAGTATCCCCAGCAGTCACACTCCTGCTAACAATCACATGTTGGATTACCTAGAAAGTCAAGTGAGGGGGATGGACATGAACAGTCCTCTGTTAGTGGTATGTAACTCGCTGTGCCTAAATCATCTGTGAACTCATATCATATTTTTTAATATACAGTGACATACATTATGTGAGACTCTTGGTGTTAAACCTGATGCGCTGTTCTATCTTGTTCATACATAAGAGCTGAACAGGCAACTGCTTTGAAATAATACTCAACGATACAATATAATTACTGGGGTGGAGTAGGGGTTAAAAAACGTGACTTACATAATATTATGTGTTTTGATATTGCACAATGTTGTGGCGTTTGACATAAAGTACTGATATATTTTGTGTGTGGGCAGGTGATGCTTGTTTTCAGCATTCCCCTAAAGTACTGATATATTTTGTGTGTGTGCAGGTGATGCTTGTTTTCAGCATTCCCTTTATCGTCTGTGTCTTTCCTCTCAGCAGTCTCAGCCACCTCCACCACAACACATGCAGCAGATGCCTCCTCCTCAGCACAGACCTGTCAATGTACCATTCTCCCCTGGCCCCCCGAGCATGATCTCCGCCCTCGACGATGGCCCAAAGGAGCGCCGTGTCATCAACCTCCCGCCGATAAGAGAGCCCCAGAACCGACTTGCCCCACCTGCACCCAGAACTCGCCCCCCGAGCTCAAGTGAGAGCAGTCGCAGCGGCTTCGGTCGTCGTGAAGATCGCGATAGACGCTACCCATCGCCCCCCAGATCCAGAGGTATTCCCCGGAGCTACAGCCAAGACTCCCTTGACGCACGGAGTCACTACGGAGCACGAGGAGGCATGGACCTCCCACGGTCCCGTTCTAGAGACGACCTATATGACAGCCGATCCAGGGGAAACTACTCTCCACCAGCATCACGACATCCAAGAAGAGGGTCGTGGAGCTCAGACGATGAGGGCAGCAGGAGGGGAGGAGGAGGAGGCGGTGGCAGAAGGGGAGGCGGAGGCGGAGGCGGAGGCTGGGTTGACAAACCTCCCAGCTACACCGAGTACGAACCTGGACAGAAGCCAGGAGCACGAAAGAACGACCGCTACGCTGTAAGACAATCCCTGCTGTAGCTTATGGTCCTTTTAACAATCACATTGGTGCACTTTCATTGTGGCAAACACAAACATAAACACACCTAAAAGACATAGTAAAATGTTAATAATGATTTTGAGTTAAAGTGAAATTAAACTAAAGTAAGTGTGTCTCTCTCAGGACAAGAATTCTCGCAGTGGCAACAGCATCGTCATCTGAACTTTCCAGCTGCCAAACGCCCTGTGACCTCTGGTTCAGAGAACATGCACAGCCTGTGTAGGATTCATCAGATCAACCCTTTTTATGAAAAAGGAATGTTTTTAATAATGTTATAGTGTCAAAAGCTGAAGCTGATTTTTTTTTGTTTTTGTTTTTTTAGGAAATATGTTAAAAAGCAACAAAAAAAAGAAAATCTAATTCTACAATGGAACCTTTTTGATTACAATATTTTATATAGAAAACTTTTAAAACAGAAAATAAATTACTGCTGAACAGATTTCTTTGGGAACAATATCCCCCTCTGCTGGTTATTGGGTGCAACTTTAATACTAAATTGTTTGAAAGCCCCTTGAGTTTTCTTGAGCGTTCAAAAGGTCTAGTTGTTAATAGATAAAGTTTACCGACACTAAGTACTAACTTTGGAGGAAAATACTCAGGGGCAGTAAATAACTTTATTGTACAATTATACAGTACTTGTTACAAATGGATGCATCAAACCTCACCATTCTAAATGAAACATGTAAGTACTGATGTTAGCTTTTGTAATTTCTGTAAATATGTTTTGTCACGTATATGCATTTGATTAACAGATATTCCAAAGGATAAGGAATGGTTTGTTGTAATAGATGGTCCGTACGTACGTAAGTTAAAAATGCAAATCTGTAAACACTGCTTTTTACGGAAGTGCTGTATTTAATATTGTGTATATGTAGCCTTTGAGTTTATATAATGTTGCAGAACTGTTTGACTTTTTTTTAACAATCTTTTAACATTTTTTAACTGAGCTGACCACAGCAACAAACCACCAAGAAATGATTGTGTGACATTTTCATTTAATTTTGTTATTTTTACACTGTACAGTTGGTTTTTAGTCATTATGATTGTAAATAAATATTTTCGCCTCCTGGGTTCCACAAAAATGTCTCCGTTTTTGTTTTCGTTTAAGTCAAGTGAAAAATTGCAGTTTTAAAAACAAACGTAAATGATCCAATTGCTTCAGTGAAAATATGAGCAATTGTTATAAACTTTTTTTGTGAAGTAAAGAGAGCCATATATATCTGCTGAATGCATATTTCACTAATTACATACAATTTTATTCAATTTGTTAATTAATACTGCATTTACCCCATTAAAATTTAAAAAAAAATATAATGCAAGGGCTTTAATATTTTTTTGTAACCACATCACTGTGTCACTTAAAAGAGAAATATAAATAACTTCCAAGAAATATTTAAACAAATATTTAACACGTTGTAAATAATGCTAAATTGCATTATAAACGTATCTGAATCCTGAGAGCCTTTCTTCAAAATATTAGCTTCTCCATTAACTTATTCTGTACCGCTGCAAATTATTTTATATTAATATTATATTAAAATATTGTTTTATTTGAATCATTCATAAAGCAAATTATTTGATGAATATAATAATTATATAATAATACTATGAAGCAATTAACACTGACCAATCGATAGTTTATAAACGTTTTAATATATCGAAGATATGACTACAGTTTTTAATCATATTGCGACTGTGCACCAGCCTCTCGTTCTCTTCCTGTCGCACACTGATGACGTGTGTAAGAGAGGCGGTGCGGATTTGCCACGTCGGTCTCTGTGCAGTGTATTGACATTGTTGCTTTCCAGCTCGGTGGCTAACTTTTAAACCCAGTTTCTGCTTCGGCCCGGAACTGTGACACCTATAGCAGCGACCGTGTGGTTCTGGTGGGTCTTCGCAGCAGAGCAGCGGGAGAAAGCAAAGCTGTGAGGCGAAGTGGCTGCGGGGACTAGGTCTGCTTCCAACTGACTGATGCATCCTGGTCCAGGTCGATCCCCCGTCTGTTCCGACGTTGTGTGAGTAACGATTGTTTCACATGGCCTCGTAAAACGGCCCACAAAGGTGTATTTGGATTAAAGAAGTTATTTTCACAGAAACGCACACAAACACACCCCCGTCTCTGTTCAAGTCTATTTTTCAAGTTTTCGCCGTGTCCAAAATGTCAGCACTGCTGCTGCCGATTCCTCCTCACTCTGCATGTCCGAGCAAGTCTGACTTCTCCAGTCAGAAACAACTCCTAATCATAAGAGAACTCCGTGCAGTCATAGCTACCTCGTCAGTTCTGCACAGTTTAAGCTTCGCTGCCTTGCCTCTCTTTTCTTCGCCCAGTTGGAACAACGGTATCATATATTTGTGACAAATCTGACAGAATGTGCCTTAGTTCCTCCAATATTAACCATATTTACTTCTGCAACCCCCTTCCGGATGAATAAACGGCTTGTACGTTTTCTGTTTTCACTTGCAGCTGTATTCCTCTCTTCCTCCGAGCCTCTCCGTATTTGTCTCCTAAACTTTCAGATTCCAAATATATATATATATATATATATATATATATAGAGAGAGAGAGAGAGAGAGAGAGAGGAGAGAGAGACAACAAAACACGTTGCGTTATAAGTCCCCACATATTCGTACTATATATAATCAAGTCGTGTTGAATGCTTTTTTTAATTCGTTTCAAAAAGTGTGAAACTACATACTACATTCAAGAAGGTCATGGATGGCAAATTAACTGCAACAGAAAAGCCTGCTTTCTCATAACTGACTAAATTTGTTTTTTGTAAGTTCCGAGAACACAGCTTCTCAAACAGGAAAATGTTCTAATGTCCTCCATTAATGTGGTTCAAAGACTTCACCTTCGTCATTTGCATTTTACAAACCGTTGAACCAATTAAACACACGCCTGTGACGTAGCACGTAGACTTCGACATCGACGTCCGAGCAATCAGATTTGTCTTCTACACGGTATAGCAGTCATTTGTCTAATTATGCCTTATTATGTCTTGTTTATGAGTAGGGCTAGTTTTTTTGCTTATTTTAGCATTATATATTATAGCATTAGCATTATTTTATTGCGCAGTAATAATAATAATAATAATAGCTGTTTTATGGAAAAAGCTCAATTTTCTACTAGTATAGACTAAATATACACTTATCTCAATGCTCTGTACTGTTTACAAATTTGATTTAAAATTAAAAAGAGCCTCATAAAAACATTATTATTATATTATTATTATTATGTGTTTAAGCTGTATTATCATTCCCCAGTGTTTTCATCAACACCATATTTTAATTATACCAAATTATTATAATTATCAAATTAAAGCTCCAGGTGATTGTGACAGTAACACATACAGTAAATGGGTGAGACTATAGTGATATGACATAGTTAAAATACATTATGTTTGGTATAAATGAACCTCAAACAGACCAATACTGTTAATTTACTATTTCTAAGATCAATATAAATTTCTTATAATTAAGACACGGTGATTTTTTTATGTGTCTGTTGTTGTGTTTTTTTCACATCAGGAGTTTTTATTTAGTTATTTTTTGAGAAAACAGACCTAGCTATGTTTGATAGTTAATGATGGGCGAATCTGGCAAAATAAAGTGCGAATCAACTTTAAAAATAACTCTTTGTCAAGTGGATTGACATAATCTGACAACACGGATCAATGTAGTTTCAATGAATAATTCATCCGAAGAACAGGCATCAACTGAGCTATTGTCTGATTAGGCTGAGTGGCCTTTATTTTATTTATTTATTTTTTCAAAGATGCCTTGGCGTGCTGTGGTGTGAGGGGAAGTGCCCAGGCTGTAATCAATAACAACATAATTAATGGCTGTATTCCATTCACTTGTGTCACGGCATTATTAAATCTGTGCTGTCTATCTGTGGGTTCATTCTTACAGAGACATTTTCTCATGTCAAGGCTGCACATCAGTGAATACCTTTACATATTGAGCAGCAAGGAAAATGAAACTTCTTGTTTTCAGGTCAGCACCTGGTCCTGTATCTTTTTTTTAATTCCTTGGTTATTTAGATCAAATTTGACCAATTAAATTTCTTGGTTATTTAGATCAAATTTGACCAAAGTATTGTCTTACCCCAAATGCATCCCAGTGACCCAACATTTGTAAATGTTTATAAAGTTCAGCTAGTGATAAATATGCTCCAGGGTCCAGGAAATTTGCATGATCGTGAGGCTTTTCCTTTCATCCACGGTGTCCTGTTCATAAAAATGACTGGAAAAAAATCTCTCTTGTTCATTGGTTATATATACAGTAGAGATTCAGTCATCGACCGACCAGGGTTTGAGACTGTGGTTTGTTTGTTGTCTGCTTCAGACGTAGTGTTTGTTGGTGGCAGTGAATGTGGTCGATGAGAACAGGTTTGTTGTCTACCAGGTAACAGAGCAGAGATGCTTCTGATTGTCAAAAAAAACTTTGCCATTAATGCACAGGAAATTCAGTAGCTCTTTGTTGCAACTGCATTAGTTGGCAGTTAAACGTTCTTTTAAAAGATTGAACTTTTTTTAAAAAAAAAAAAGTGTATTTATTTGTTTTTCAAGACATTGAAAAAAGGAAAGGTGATGCATTGTTTTTACTACAAAATTATAAACTCCAGATGATGAACAGATGATTTTGCTCTGTTGTCCAGACCTTATGCCTAAAGTTTAATTTGTCAGAAAGGTGTGTGCACAGGAATTCATTTTCGTTTAGTTTAGAGGAATTCCAGTTTGTGGGAAAATGTTTCATAATTACTTGTAAATAGAACGAAATGTTGCGCCAAAAGAACATTTCACCTTTTCACTTTTTGTATATGCTTTCGAGAAAATTGTAATTGGTAATTGGTTTATTTTGGTCAAAAAGTGACTAGTGACTCAACTTGTTGTCCTGCCGTGTTCAATGACCTGTGACATGAACCTGCCCCCTGACACGGCCTCAGCAGGTTTCAATCCTCCTTGACCTGTTTCGTGTTTCAGTTAAAGACGCACCATTAAAATGACGCTCATCATCACTTGCTGTGATAAATACATTGAACCGGCTTTTGAAAGGGGATCTTTTGGACCCTGAAAGAGCTCTTTGATGTCACTCACTGGAGGATGATGTATAGAACGAACCACCACGGTTACCCACAGGCTGCTACAGCTGGTGGTTTCACTCCCTTTCCTAGGGCAGTGAGCTCATCGTTTGGCTCTTGAGACAGGAGTCGGTAACTTAACGTCGAGGGAGTTCTAATCCCAGTCATTTACCTAATCAGTCAGAAAGTCTCAAATTCATTTGACTAATCAGTCATTTACCTAATCAGTCAGAAAGTGGCTGAAAGTCTTGGTTCTGTTAACAGCAGGAGTGACTTAATGAGGAAATAATGAAATATGCTAAATTGACTTTTACATACATTTGCATATTTAGATATTTTCTATACTACCTGTACCTGGATCCACCATTTGAGTTGCGAGTACGTGACTGTTCTGTAAACATGTGTGTCATCCAAAGTGCGTTGCAGGGCTGTTGGATTATGGGATACAAATTCATAATCACAATTGTTCATAATTAAAAAAAAATCATAATCACAAAATGATGACTCACTAACTCTGAAAATACATTGATAGAAAATAGTCATGAAATGTATCATCAGCATTGATGTTGGGCTGACGTTTCAATGTAACCCTATTAAAAAGATCTTAAAAGTACTTTAATCTCGCCCTCAGCCTATAAATCCTCAGACCTATTTCCTTTATTGATGACCCTGAGCAGTTGGTAGTAAATTCATGAATTCATTTATTTTTATGCTGAACATTTTCATCCAGTTGGTGACGGGGACATTTTTATTTTTTTTCCCCACAGTGGCCTGTTTGTACATGGTGGCTAATCTAGGAGAAACAGAGGAGTCCCAGCGGTTGTTGGTCGGTTGGCGGCGTCCTCAGTTGCCACGGTAACTGGCGACCATGCCAGGAGGTCGCAGGGGCCCCAGCAGACAGCAGCTGAGTCGCTCTGCTCTGCCGTCCCTGCAGACTCTAGTCGGAGGAAGCCTGGGAAATGGTACAGGCCTCAGAAACAGGTACACACACACACACACACACACACCCTCAAAGATCTGTAACATGAGGTTTAGAAGTACTGCTCTTTGTGCTGCTCCTCATGGCGAGGAACGTGCGGTCTGAGAGCGATAACGTGTATAAATGTGATCATGATCTGTGCCATAAAAGTGTTTTCTGGATGGAAAAAAAATCAACATCTTCAAGCATAAATAAATCTGCAGTTTCCTGTTTTGAATTCCACCTCACACTATATAATAAATGCACAGTTTGTCTGCTGCTGTTTCACATTTATCGCACGCCCCGACTCTTCAACTGTCTGTCCGTTCAATATCTTTAATCAGTGTGTGTGGAGTATATAGTCGTGCTAATCCTACCTTATCTTCGATCTTACTGAGCTTTGAAACCACAGTGAAAGGTGAGCAGATGCTACCGTAATATGCTAACGTTTATAATTCTGACCTGATTGTAAATCTGACCCGGAGGAGTGCATGCCTCACTGGTTACATTACCTTCACCACACCACCACTGCTTCGTGGCATTGTTCACACATTTTAGTTTTTGTTCAGTAAACACTAAAAATAGAAGGATATCGAAAGCATGTGGGGGGAAAAAAAATGTTTTTTTTTGCTCTCACTACAAACTTCTCTGTCGGCTGTTCAGCTGAAGGGACAGAAATATACAGTTTCACACAGGAGACGGCGATCAGATACTGACATTAGCTTATACTGTAGTTTCATGCAAGAGTCAAATAAACGGAAACTAAGAAAAAACATCAAAAATGAACTGAAGTAATCAAATGTGACACAGGGCTTCTGATCTGAAGATTTTTTTTTTTTTTATGTTTGATTTATCGCAGTTCCAAGTGTTACACTTCACCCAAGTGCCTCAGCGTTCCCCTCGCAACACGCACATCCTGACAGTACAGGTGTACTTCAGATCTGTTTTGAGTCACTTACTTGAGAATTCAAAGTTATCATTTCCAGTCTAAATGAAAAGAAACATCAAGGCAAGGCAGAACAAATGAGAAAAAGAATTGTGAACTTTCTAGATTTTTGTATTTTTAATTTTTATATTCAATTTTTCAGTACAAGTTCTTGTTCTTGACCCTGCGAAAACATTTTGTAAATCAAGACTAAATATGTTATATAAAGGTTAGGTGAGGTGAAAAAAACTGCAGGTATTTATTTATCGTCTGTCCTGTCTCAAAGTACACTTCCTGTTTCGTCTCTCTTCAGGAGCAGTACCTCGGTGGGTCTCTCTGCTCCCCCCATCTCGGCCCTCATCACCCCGGAGCCTGTCCGTCACTCGCGGATCCCTGAGCTGCCGTCGGACAGCAGCCTCCTCTTTGAGTTCCTGCTGTTCCTCTACCTGCTGGTGGCCTTGTTTGTGCAGTACATCAACATTTACAGGACGGTGTGGTGGTATCCATACAGTCACCCTGCGGCCTCTACCTCACTGGTGAGGAGGAACACAGCTGATCATGTGAACCTTTTTTTTTAATGGGACTGAAGGGACGTGGCATTTACTATTCTTTTTAAATATTTTATTTTATTTTATTTTTTAGTCACCAGTGCTGACTGATGATGTGTCAATAAAATAAAATTACAAACTTCTCTGTCGGCTGTTCAGTTGAAGGGACAGAAATATACAGTTTCACACAGGAGACGGCGATCAGATACTGACATTAGCTTATACTGCAGTTTCATGCAAGAGTCAAATAAACGGAAACTAAGAAAAAACATCAAAAAAGAACTGAAGTAATCAAATGTGACACAGGGCTCTGATCTGAAGATTTTTTTTTTTTTTATGTTTGATTTATCGCAGTTCCAAGTGTTACACTTCACCCAAGTGCCTCAGCGTTCCCCTCGCAACACGCACATCCTGACAGTACAGGTGTACTTCAGATCTGTTTTGAGTCACTTACTTGAGAATTCAAAGTTATCATTTCCAGTCTAAATGAAAAGAAACATCAAGGCAAGGCAGAACAAATGAGAAAAAGAATTGTGAACTTTCTAGATTTTTGTATTTTTAATTTTTATATTCAATTTTTCAGTACAAGTTCTTGTTCTTGACCCTGCGAAAACATTTTGTAAATCAAGACTAAATATGTTATATAAAGGTTAGGTGAGGTGAAAAAAACTGCAGGTATTTATTTATCGTCTGTCCTGTCTCAAAGTACACTTCCTGTTTCGTCTCTCTTCAGGAGCAGTACCTCGGTGGGTCTCTCTGCTCCCCCCATCTCGGCCCTCATCACCCCGGAGCCTGTCCGTCACTCGCGGATCCCTGAGCTGCCGTCGGACAGCAGCCTCCTCTTTGAGTTCCTGCTGTTCCTCTACCTGCTGGTGGCCTTGTTTGTGCAGTACATCAACATTTACAGGACGGTGTGGTGGTATCCATACAGTCACCCTGCGGCCTCTACCTCACTGGTGAGGAGGAACACAGCTGATCATGTGAACCTTTTTTTTTAATGGGACTAAAGGGACGTGGCATTTACTATTCTTTTTAAATATTTTATTTTATTTTATTTTTTAGTCACCAGTGCCGACTGATGATGTGTCAATAAAATAAAATAAAATAAAATAAATAAAATAAAAAATAAACATGAAAATGTGTCTGATTGACCTCCCACTGGTGTTACAGTTTCTTCTGCAAGAGCATAATTAAAAAAAAGAACAAGAGAAACATTTGAGCAGAAGAAATTATGTAAAAAAAAAAAACGTGGATTTGTATAAGAAAAAAAACACACACTCTTAATACTAGAATCAGAAACAGACCAACAAACATATTTTCTGCATGATTGAAAACCACATTAGACCACAAACTGTTTGTGTAACAATTGATTTGCATGACAACGAAGACTTCATCTCTCTCTCTCTCTCTCTTTCTCTGTCTCTGTCTCTCGCTGCATCTCTTATTTATCTCAATTAAAATGTTGTGCACCTCTTATTTATCTCAATTAAAATGTTGTTTAATGGTTATATATCGTTTGGTAAAATAATCACCGTTGTTCAACTTTTCTCTTCTTCTGCAGAACTTCCATCTGATGGACTACCACCTTGCAATCTTCATCACTGTCATGTTGGCGAGGAGGCTGGTGTGGACGATAGTGTCCGAGGTAAACGCGCACTTTCTGTGTTCATACAAACGACTCCATCCTTCTAGTTAGTCAGCGGTTACAAAAGTGGGGCAGCTGTTGGTTGGTGGCAAAGACAGGTCAAGGCTGGACATAAAGCTTAGTGTCTCAGGGACCTGATGATGTTTGATGAAGTATATTTATTTCTCCCATAGTTGGACAAATAAAATAAAATTCTGTTATTTGATGAACGTAATGTTTTTGCAGGAATAACAGTGTTTAAACTGAAGTTTAATGATCCGTGGATAAGAAATAACTTTTCCAGCCGACACTGGACAATTGTCCTTTTTATAAAAAGAGGCATTCAGAAAAGTTTGAAAACAGATGTAGTTGACTCCCGAAGATCATTTTGAATTCTTCTCCGTCCTGCAGGTGTCTCAGAGCAGCGGAGGATCACTGCTGCGTTACGTGTTCCTTATCGCGGCTCGGCTCTGCCTGCTGACCATGTGCGGCTGGGTTCTCTGCTGGACTCTAGTCAACCTCTGCAAAAATCACTCGGTTTTAAATCTCCTTTTCCTGGGATACCCGTGAGTTTTTCTCCCGTTTCTGTGAAAATCGTCGTGACAGATTGATTTGTAACTGTATGATTTATCACTATTGCAGTTTTTTATAACCTCTAAAACTTCCGTGCATTAAAGCAGAATTGTATATACAATGATTCATTTCAAACAAACATCAGCAAATCAGTTTGAGTTCATTTCAGCAAGGTATTAGAATAAGAAATATCCTGGAAATATTCAACACTGTCCTTGAAATCTGCCTGACCAGGATGTCTTATGTCTCGTGCCGTTTGAAATTGTGAAGTTAAGCACATTTCAAGCACCTTTTGTCGTGTAAGTCATGTGTTTTACAGAGCGTTGGTCTTTTTTTTTTAATCAATTTCAGCTGTCCATTAATTACATTAAGTGTTACACATTTCCAAAAGTTATTAATACGTCTGTGTTCATTTTCTGATTTTTTCTGTCATCGTTTTCAGCTTCTTTCTTAGGCTCTTAAACATACATATAAACATATAAACCCCTCACTCCTCTGTCTGTTTCCTCTGTCCCTCCCAACACACCGACTCCCCCTGGTGTCAGATTTGGCGTGTACGTCCCTCTCTGCTGCTTCCATCAGGAGGGAGGTAAAAGTCAGACTGCTGCAGCTGACTGTGACTTCCAGCCCGACCACCAGCAGACCGACCTGGCCGAGGCGCCATTATTTCGCCCCCGTGACTTCCTCTTCCTGTTGCGAGAGAACCTCAGAGAGCAGTTTTCCAGCCCGCCACACATGCCCACACACACCTGCCCGCCTCACACACATTCACACACCCCCGAGCTGATTCGGGCCGAGGTGGAGGAGCTGAAGAGTGACTTCAATCGCCGGATCAAGGAGGTGCTCTTCAACTCCCTCTTCAGCGCTTACTACGTCGCCTTTCTGCCTTTGTGCTTCGTCAAGGTTGGTGTCTGTCACTTGTGTCACATTTAAAGAGATTTCATACTCCGCCTTTCCTCCAATAAACTCTCCCTCTCCGTTGCTCCGTATGTCACACAGAGCACGCAGTACTACGACATGCGTTGGTCATGTGAGCACCTTATTATGGTGTGGATCAATGCATTCGTGATGCTGATGAGTCAGCTGCTGCCTCCCAGCTACTGCGACCTGCTTCACCGCTCGGCGGCTCATCTGGGCCGCTGGCAGAAACTGGAGCACGGCTCGTACAGCAACGCACCTCAGCACGTGTGAGTGTCCCTCTGTACGCACGCGCGCGCGTCGTCGCAGTGCTGCTGATGCTGCTGGCGGTTTGCGTGTAACTGTGGTGCTGTGTTTCAACAGGTGGTCAGAGAGCACGATCTGGCCCCAGGGGGTCCTGGTACGACACAGTCGATGTCTTTATAAGGCGGTCGGACCCTACAATGTGGCCCTGCCCTCTGATGTTTCCCATGCAAGGTTTTATGTGAGTATTTCTACCATTTGTATAAAAGAGTGCGGAGAACGGACAAAATGGAAATTCGAAAATTCCCTCTCTGTATCGCGGTTTCCTCCTTTCACTCCCTCAGTACATTGCAGATTTATTTTTTAATCCAATTTTTTTTTTTTTTTTTTGGCTTTAAAAATGTTGATTCTCGTTTTGAAATTGAGATAAGCGAATGATCACTGGTAGCTAAACGAAATTGTACACAGCATACTGTTGGCTAATACAATGCGTACTCTGTGTGCTATTGGCTAATGGAGCACGTTCTTCTGTTCCTCTCGCTGATTGGCTCACCGTACTCTGTGTGCTATAAGCTAATGGAGCACGTTCTCCTGTTCCTCTCGCTGATTGGCTCATGCATCTCTCAGCTTCTTCCCTTGACTGTCAGCCACTCTCTCGTTCACTTCGCTCCGGACCCCATTATACTATACTGTGCATATAATTGTGTGGGAAAGGCTAATACAGTCAAGGGGGGTTAATAACAGTGTGGGGGAGGGGGTTGGTAAAGGGTAAATATATACGGAAATAATATAATATATAATAATAACTATCTCGCCTTCCAGTGGACTCACCACCCGCAGGAAGGTTCATGGAGGTGGGTACGTTGCAATGTGATTTGGGTGGCGATGGCTGCCCCCGCGACCCGGTAACGGATAAGCGGATGAAAATGGATGGATGAATGGAATAACTATCTCGCCTCTACATCGCGGTTTTTCCCTTTTCGCGGCAACTACTGCGATAGGAGAGGGATCACTGTGTATATATATTACTGTGTGTGTGTATATATATATATGTGTGTGTGTCTATATATATACATGTACATATACACACACACACATATATATATATGTATATATGTATGTACATATGTGTATATATATATACATACATATATATATACATACATATATATATATATATATATGTGTGTGTGTGTATATATATACATGTACATATACACACACATTTTTAACTAGTGTTTAAAGCAGGTGTGTCAAACTCATTTTGATTCAGGGGCCACATACAGCCTGATTAGATGTCAAGTTAGGCCGGACCAGTACAATCATAACATAGTTACCTATAAATAACAATAAGTGCATGTTTTTCCTCTTTGTTTTTATGCAAATAAGTACAAGTATATGAGAAAATCTACATATTTAATGAAATATCATTTTAAAAAAAAAACATCACTAACATGAAGTGCATTTTTTTCCACTTTTAAAATGTGTCAAACAGGCCACATTGAACTGTCTAGCGGGCCGGTTTTGGCCCACGGGCCACATGTTTGACACCCCTGGTCTAAGCCTGACATTGACCACCTGTGACCCTCTTAATATTCTGTGTTGTGTTTTCCCCCCCCTCATCTGTTCTCTCTGTCTCCGCTGCTCTCTCAGTTCCTGTTTCACAAGCCATTGCGGATCTTGAACCTGCTGATCTGGATTGAGTCAAGTGTGGTTTTGTATCAGTTATACTCTCTGCTGCGGTCTGAGCGCTGGAACCACACCCTGTCTATGGGCCTTATTCTGTTCTGCAACTACTACGTCCTTTTCAAACTGCTCCGAGATCGCATTGTGCTGGGCAAAGCCTACTCCTTCCCTCTGTCCTTCAGCAGCCTGGGGCTGAAATCTCAGTAAAGGGATCCACAGAGCGAGACCTCCCCAAAAGAACTCTGAACCTGCGGGCAAAAAAAGGTTCGAGCTCTGAAAAGGGCTGGAGGATAGTGGAAGCACTTGCTGCCGGAGGTGAAGGGACAGACTGTGAACTCTGTTTTGATACGGTTCTATTTTTAATGCAATGTTTATATAAACCTATTTAAAAGAATATTTTTATTTTGTATACTCTTTGTAGTTACACCGGGCATTACCACACCGACCACGTGAGCAAGTTGAGTGTTTTTTGTTTTTGTTATAAGGTGACAGGGAAGTCAGGAAATGCCAGGAGGTGACTTTCACCAAAGATATTTGAGGTGCGGGAGGCCATCGATGGAATCACTGGGCCTCTGACAGTCAGTCCAAAGTCACAGCAGTGGTTGGATTGGTGCCTGACATCCTGAATTCAGATTTGATTCAACAACGAAAGCATCCATAATTCAAATTGATTCATTTCAGATTCTGCATCAGTTATTGGAGGTAAAAAAAAAAAAAATCCCCATGGTGTGAGAGTCCGGCCGTCACTTACTGAAATTCACCCTGCAGTTACAGTTGTTGCTGGGCATCGCGGTGGGTCAGTGGCTGGAGCGGTTGCCTCACGGGAAGAAGGTTCTGTCTTGGACAGATGGCTTTTGTGTGAAGTTGTTGAAGACAGAAATTCAGAGCTTCTAGATTGGGAATGAAGATGCCGTTTGGGAATGTTTTTAGACTCAAGTCAAGACCGTAGACGAAATCTGAGCATCGCTGTTGATAAGTTTAACTGCAATTCGTTTAACAAGATATCCAGATAAATATTTCAAAAGGGCAGCCCCTTGATGGTTGATGGACAGTTGGACAGTGCTTGGTCTACGCTCACTGTCCACTTCATTAAACATCGTTCCAGTACTGGGTTTGACTTTGTCTCGCGTTCATGTTTTTGGACACATTACATTGCTCTAACCCACATCACTCACCTGCTCAGACTGTCTTCACGAGGCTCTCTGTTGAATCTGTCTAAATGTCTCTGCACATGTCTACATTCACCAGTCCAGGCAATGACTTTCAATCTCTTATTGGTTAATTTTAGTCTGTGTCTCTGTGGTCTAAAGCCCCAGGTTCCTGTCCTTAGCTGCGAGGCGTAGTGAACCATGTGGTATCCAGCAGCGTGGCCCACCTGTCTCGAGGTTTGATCTGTCGTTTCCGTTAAAGACGCTCGTCTCCGTATCAGTTTACAAAGAAGTGATTTGTTTTTTCCATCCGCTTCAGTCAGTCCGATTGTTGTCCTCAGGAAGCTGTTGCTCAAATTGTATATATTTTTTTTCTTTCTATAGACTCTTAAAAAAATATATTTTGGTTGATTAGCAGTTTTGTTTTTTTTTTAAATACCACGCTCGGTCGCCTTCCCTTAACTCCAGCAGGTTGTTGTTTTGACCATTTCACGTGATTTGATATCTGCACTGACGAACAATCGAACGGATGTACCCAATAAAGTGACAAGTGAATGTAGCCATTTCTTGTCTCGATGCTAAAGCTAAGCCTCTTCTGTGTCCCGCCCAAATCCCAAAATGTAGGTGAAGCTCGTGGGTTACAACAGTCCACTGCCAAAGAAGAGAGCTCTTTCTTCCTTCACTTCACCAGTATGTGCTAATTCCTGTCAACACGGTTACAGTGGCAGACATTTTGAACTTGTCCAAAACTGTTAGCTCTGCTGCTGTTTCCTTTCGGTTCAAATCAGATAAGACGTGTTAGAAATCTGCTCTGATGTTTATGAGTTATTTTAAGTCATTCAGACACTCAACGTTTTTTTTTTTTTTAACTAAATAACGGTGCTTTATTTCTCATCCGCACTTGTAATAAGAACCATACCACATCGGGGGTTTTTTTTTGTTTGTTTTTTTTTTTTTTTTGCTACGTCTCGTGATCCTGCCTTTTATGCCCTTCTGCAACTCAGCCACCGTCACACCCTCTTGTATGGTTTTGTCTGCGTTATGTAGGGGTGACGGGGGGTGAAGTCAAAAATGTGAGCGTGATAACAGCTGTAGGGGAGAAACCTAGACACCTTTACAAGGTACCAATTGTCTAGAATGATAAGAAATCCTTTAGGTGGAACACAGGCTCCGCCCCTTTTCAAACCCACACCTGCTCGGTGTCCTCGGGCAGTTTGTAGTGTAGTCGCTGAGCTGAGCTGTCTATTATTTACTAAGCAGTTTTCTGCCGAACTTGGGAGAAGAAGGAGGGAATTGATGTTAGCGGCGCGGTTGTTACTTGTCTGACAATTACTGTTTAAATCCAGTTTCAGGTCGAGTAAGCCATTTTTGATGTAAACCAGAGTGGCCATACTGAAGTGTGACTGATTCATACAAACCTCACATTATTTTGTCGAATTCTTCCCCAGCTTGTTCTCCAAACTCTGTGCTTGGTTCTTGTATTTTTGTCTGCAGCAACTTTCCACTCAACTGCTGCTCATTTTGTTGCTGAATGGTGCTCTTGCACGTCTTTTTTTTTGTAAAAGGTAGTGAATTCAATTCTCGGTTAAGCACATCTGCAGCTCACGTTTGTCCTTGAACCTCGGAAAGGAGATATCTGAGACTTTGCTTTAAGTTCTGCCTCTGTGCCAGCTCCCACTAAGAAAAATCGGGTATTTGCGAAAGCTGAAGTGATTGTGTTTTCTTTGTTCGGTTTGGTGAAACCCTAAAGATCACATTTGAGAAAGAAAGGAATTCAAAAATGTATGCCCTACAGTGTCAACATATTTCCACATGATTCGATATGTGCCATATCCCAGGATTCCAGACTCCTGGTTCGTCCCAGTCCTAGGAGCTGGTCCTCATAGATTCGCTTTTGACAGTGTTCAGTTTCACCACAGCATTTCTGAAAACGTTGGAAATAAAACAAATGTTTAAAACAAAAGGCATTTTTTTGTTTTTTAAGCCCATACCAATACCACTTGACCAGAGAGTGAAATGAATGGATGGCCCCCGTGTGATACTTCTTTAAAACAGGCGTGTGGTTTACTTTTCTCGTCAGTTTCAGAAACACCGACATGTACAGTATCCAACGTTAAAACAACGTAGAAAGTGCTTTAGGCCAAGGTGTGGTAGTACATGGTCACTGCAGGGACCTGTAACATTTCATCTCCGTCACCAGGGGGAGCCTTAACAAAGTGCCTGTTAAGCCCTGGCGACGTTCATCTGTGTTCATTGTGAAACGTCAGTCCTCCCCAGTTGTTCTCACTTTTTATTCTGCTGACACCAGAAGAACTGCAGCTGTGGAGAAACAGCGAGTCCGCGGGGAGCGACGACAGGACGGTTCCGAAACTGTGACCCCCTTTGGCGGCTGACTTGTACATTCATTCACACGCGTCACTTACAGTAGAAGGAAAAATAAATCCGACAGTGCTTGATTATGATCTTAAGAGGATAGACACGTACGTTTTAGACTGAAGACAGAGGAGCTGTAGCTACCTGGTTGCAATGGGAAGCTATGAATGTATAGAGGAGCTCAGCTGGATATGAACAGAACTTTATAGAAACGACAGTGTTATACCAAGAAGAGAAGGTCTGGTTGCTTAATAGTACTACACAGAGTTACTTTAACATGTAAATAGTAGCGTGTTTTCCCATAGACATATATTTATGCATCTTTTTTTTTTTTAACAAAACATAAAGCGCTGACTTCATTCCGTCTCAGTACAGTTTCACCTTTGCAACCCCATAGCTACACCAGACCGAGCAGGAAAAACAACATGGACGTGTCCTGCTCGCACCCTGGTCGAGTGCTGTTACTTGATTTAAAAACAAAAAAAAAACAACAAAAAAAAAACTTTTCATAACAATAGGGCTGTCACTTTTTCGTTAATGGTTCAAATTACGCATCTATGAACAGGTAAAAAAAAATTGGAAGAAGGTACTCTAACAGGTGAAACCCAAATCCTCTTCTTTCCATCAAATATAAAAGAAAGTTCCGCTAGTTAGCTTCGATTTACTGTTAGCAAGAAAGTTTTCAAATGTGACTTTAATGGTTGTACTTTGTCCTGATAACTAATGCCTCTGTGCCAGCCCTAGGACAGTAGCCTTCTTACATTGACCAACTTCTTTATCCAACTCGACCAAACGACCGACAAATGGGACAAAAAAAAAAAAATCTCTTCGGGAAAAAGTGACAGCCCTGCGTGCGGTGTTGTCATTTAAAAATCGAGGCGACAAAACAATGATTCGATTTTTTTTACATCATATCAGTGCTACGTGTAAGTCGACTCCCCGTCGCTCCTCAGCCTTCTCTGCAGTCTACAAAGTTCCCTTTTATCCAGTAGCAAATCTGAGCGTATTTCAGAGGCGTAATTCTCACTGCGACGTTGAAGTCCTGAGACGCCCCCTGCCGCTCCACCCACTGGTGCCCGGAAAAGACGCCGATCACCTTCCGCTCCCACCGCCGGCGCCTCCCATCCCACATCCGTGCGTAGACTCCTGAGCCGCTGGCTCCAGGTTGAGCGTCGCAGTGCTGGTACAGAAGATCTGCAGTTTCCTCGCCGGCCCGACAGAAGCGATACACCAGCTGCCCTGGACGGTCGTTATCGTACCCCGAGAAGTGAACTCGATGACCGGGCAGCCTCTGAGCTGGCGGACTGACTCCTAACTTCATGTGGCGGCGTTTGTGAGGCTTCTTCAGTTCCAGCAGGGCGTAGTCGTAGTCCATTCCAATGTCGTTGGCATTACCTTTAATCCATCCTTTGGGGACGTGGGTACGCTTGGCACGGATCCACTGAAACTTCATCTTCTCATTCCTCGGTGGGTCGTACGAGCCGAAACGACCTTTGGTGTTGTTGAAGTGGAGGTACAAAGGCGACGCTTGTGAATCTCGCTGTTTAGATCTCAAAAATCCAACGCGGAGTTTCTGGGCTCCCTTCACGTAGTTTTTCCCATCGTGAACACAGTGAGCAGCTGTGAGAACGTGTCGGTCTCCGACCAGCGTTCCTGAGCAGCCAGTGGACAGTTTAACAGCCACCGCAAATGGAAATTTAAGCAGGAAGTCCTGTCCCGCAATGCGGAACCGCCCATCGTGCCCGAAGATCTGTCGCTTCCTCCTCACGTGTGACCTCTCGGACTTCGCCGGTGACCCGGAGGAGTAGGCGGTGCTCCTGGTGGAACTGGGACTGTAGCCGTAGATCTTGATGGCCGTCTCTGTCAGTTTGCCATTGGAGTGGAGAGTCTCGTAGGCCAGAAGACTCTGCAGGTCCCAGTAACTTGGTTTGGGTGCCACTCGGTGGCAATATGGGTCACAAGGTGAGGTGACATTCAGACGGGCCTGGGCCAGGAAATGAGGAGCGGGCCCGGGCTCTGTGCTCTCTGGGAGGACCACCGGGACGCGCTGAAGCATCCACTGGGGTCGGTAGGATAAAACACAGGGCGGGAAGAAAAAGAAGAGGAGGGAGATGAACCTGCGAAGGAACGGGAGGAAAGGTTAGCTGGTGCGATGAACCCAAAGCCAACAAATGAACACGATTTCTGATGGTCCCGTGCAGCTGTGTTGGGACAGGATGTCTGGGCCTCTGCAAGAAAAAAAAACATCCTCATTCCTAAAAGAAGCACCAGAGGTTTTATAATTAGAACTATGGGAGTTTAGGGGAACTTCAGCTGCGAGGATGTTTTTTTTTTTGTTTTTTTGTTTTTTTTTGTCGTCGGCACTGACATCAGACCGCTGCTGTAAACTTCCACTATTTTTACTGCTGTGAATATTACAGACAGAGCAAAGATCAGGCCTTTTTAGGCTCTGGTGGAAAATTCCTTCCGTGGCCTGGGGATTAGCCTGAAGCTAAATACAAACAAGTAAGGGTTTAATAACCATAACAGATAACGTCATCCTGTACAGCAGCTCTATCAACAGGACGCTGATGACGACCGTAATGCACAGAATAACTCTTCATATTGTAATGTGTGCAATATGAAGGAGTTAAACGTTTTAGCTATAGGCTAATTGGAGAGGATAATGACTAGCTTTAGCATCAGTCTTACTCTGTTGGAGAAGAACCACTAAACTGAATGCATGCACAAATACAGTATATATATATATATAACTAACTGCACTCATCTGCTTAAAATGGTTTGGCATGGTTCCCCTGCTAACTGCACTCATCTGCTTAAAATGGTGCTAGAAATTGTTTTCTTTTTTTAAAGTCACCATTTTTACATCATGACGTCAGAGAAATGTAGAGTATGTCTCTGTATGGTGGAATACCTGGACAATGACAGGCGGCCAATCAGACGCCTCAATTAAGCTGTTACTGCGGCGCAACTTGACCGCACACGTGAACGAGAAAGGACCTGGACCAGTGTGAGGACTAGTCACAGCCTGCAGTTTTAGACATTTGACGGCACTTTGGACACGTGAGAGCAAAAAAAAAAAAAAAAAAAAGCAGTATTCTGGAGCTCATTCTGTCACAAAACTTTGAAACAAAAATTGATTTGGCGCGAAACAACTGCTTTAGTTTAACTGGTTACACACTAAAGAGCGGACCACCCAGATTTGGACAGATTTCTGTTTGTCTTTCAGCTTAAGTAAAAAAAAGGTGGTTTTGAGGCACCGCGAAAATTGCTGGTGCAGGAAGTAGATACAATGTTTCTCTATTGGGCTGCAAATGACCGCAGGTGATGGTTTGGTTGACTGTTGTTGTTGTTGTCATTGTTGTTGTTGTTCTCCCTTCACGACCAAAAACTCTAACAGCACTGCGGAAAGCGACTGTATTGAATAATATTTGGTTAAAATTGGAAACAAATAACAGCTAACTAGTTCCCGAAGCTGTTCGGAGCATTAAGTCATAATATTATCTTCCTTATTGTTATTTAACAGGCTGAATAATACAGAATAGGTGAACGTGTGTTGAAAATAACAGGTGTACAGTGTATAATTATCAGTCATATTCCTGACGACAGTGTGCGGCGACTTACCAGCGGAACGCAGAGCAGGAGCGCATGGTTAGGAGTGAGCAGGTGAGCAGGAGGCTGAACACTGAGGGGGAAACCCCTCAAAACACCGGAGCCGGAGTCTGCGGTGGGACGGTGATGTTTGAACAATCCAGATGGAAAAAAAAAAAGTCAGGGCGGTTTTTTTCCGGGCTTCCTTTTCTCAGGAACTGGCGCCTGTGTTTAATCCTAGACAAAGTGGACTGATCCAGGAGGAGCAGCCGGCTCTGCAGCTCCGCGTCTGCGGCTGCTGCAGGAGGCGGAGGAGGAGGAGGAGGAGGAGGAGGATGCGGAGCAGAAGAGGAAGGAGGAGAGGACTCCACTAAAGGAGTACGTCAGAAGTCACTAAAACTGCTCTATAACGAAGTCCTCACGTCTTCACGCAAAATAGGCGATGTTCAAAATAAGGCCCGCGGCCAGTTATTATGGCCCTTGGACAGATTTGATGTAATCCCTTCTTTAGGCTCTACATCTGAGAACTCTCTGCCAAGTGCATCTTAGCACACATTTAGAGTGGTTAAATTACGAAATTATAGCTAATAGGACTTGGCTAACCTTTAGCTGTTTTTAGGCTAGCTGTCTTCTTGACATATTCTAAAGCTATTTCTCTACAGTAGTAGAGTACAATACATATATATTTGTACAAGCACTGATGCACACAACAACAACAATGTCAATTACAGTGCACCTCATATCACACTGGTTTGTGTTTTAGGACATGCTGAAAATGTAAATTACAGTGCACCTCATATCACATTGGTTTGTGTTTTAGGACATGCTGAAATTAACTACAACTCCCAAGCAAAAAAAAAAAAGAGCGAACATTAGCTGTAAAGCAGTTCATTTTCTAGTCTCTAAACCAAAAACCATCAAATATTCTTGTCATTCAGTAGCAGCACTAAATCAGTTTCCTCCCCAAACCAACCACACAAACATGAATCTTTGTCATAATGGAGCTGGAATTGTTCCCTCTGAATTATGACATTTGTGCAGCTTCTGTGTGACAGACTGTCTGTTGTGATGCCCTGGTTGAGGAGGCGGAAAAAAAGTGGTTTTTGATGCCACTGTTTGACCCAAGGACTTCAGGCTCAGCTTCCAGTGGAGACGCAGAAAGGAAAGATGGAGAAGAACGAGTGGAGGAAACTCCGCCTTAGGCTTCACAGCTATTTCTAACCTCTGAGTTTTGAAATGACCCTAAGGACTAAAAACCTTCACAAAGATTAAACTGAATCCTTGCTCCATGATGGACAACCTTCACAGACACCAGGGAACGTGGCCTAAGATGAAACTGAATCCTTGCTCCATGATGGACACGGAAAAAGACTCAACACAGACGATGGCAATCGACAAACGATGCTTTTAGTGAAGAGTATTCTTTTATAAGCCCAATGAAGCTATTTACCCTACATCCTATGTCTGGTGGCACTTTGGCGCCTTCCAGTAGACTCACCACCCGCAGGAAGGTTCGGGGGAGTTGGTACGGTACAGTGTGATTTGGGTGGCGGTCGTGGCGACTGCTGGCCCCCGCGACCCGCTAACGGATAAGCGGATGAAAATGGATGGATGGATGCTATGTCTGCTCACAGAAATGAATTATAAAATAATTTCACGTAAATCTTTGGAGTCCACGAACAGTGTACTCCGAAGAGGCGGCCATGTTTGACACTACAAATATATTGTGCTCTTTATGTATAAAACATCGAGGAGTGATTTCAGACTTCAGCATATCACCGTAGTATATCCAGTTCCCAGCAGTAAATCTCCTGTGACATCACAGCCTCAAAGCCTGATGCTACCATATATGATACCATGTATATGGCATTCGTTCCCACAGCTCCTCATCCATGTTGAGTCTAAGTCAGAGCAGCCACACAGAGCACACTCTCAGCAGCACAACAGTATCCTGCAGCTGATTACAGACGGAGTCTGTGCCAGGACTCAGGGCGGACCTGCTGGATCATCAGACACTGTTCTAAAAAACCCCGAGAACCCCACCCATCATTCGCTCCACTCTAACCGATACACACACACACACACACACACAAGCACAAACACAAACTGTCATCATTACGGCCTTCAGTTTCTCTCTCTCTGTGAACTTCTTTCGGGGTCGGATCAGTCTGTCAGTCTCCGTGTTCACGCTTGACTTCTTAGTGGCGTCGGTTGCGCATCGGGTTAGCCGTCCCTGTGAACCGATGTATACGGACAGACACATGTCTGTCTCTGTAGCATCAGGTGCTAATTAAACTCCTAGCTGTTAGCGATTTAGCTGATACAAAGCAGTAAATCTAAAATCTTCACTCTGAATATCGCACATGTGCTGTGCATTCACATCGTTTGATGTGAAGATGCGTGTTGTTGTTGTTGTTGTTTTTGTTGTTGTTTTTTCTGTCATGATGGTGTTAATTAAAGGCAAGTAAACGACTTACGTCTGATCTTTATAGTTCAACTAAAACTTCTCGGTGGAAGAATGTTTGTTTAATTAGTTCAACTAAAACGCTACTTCTCGGTGGAAGAATGTTTGTTTAAGCGCTGCCTGTTGGAACGTTGGTCATGTTGGGTGAGTTGGTTGAAAAAAAAAAATCATGCTAGTTGTTACAGATACTGGGTGGAGCTAACCACACTCACCTGTGTCTCTGTCATCAGTCTCACTAGTGCCACCTGGTGTCCGGGGTATATATACTGCTGTGTCCGCCCTGATCTTCATGCTTGAAGTTCTGCTCTTTGCTCCCGTGCCCCCTGTTCTGAGTCCCTTCTTCCTGTGCAACCCAGGAACTTTCCATGTTGTAAATAAATTCCTTACACCTGACAGAGAGTCTTCCTAGTACTGCATTAGGGTCCTGCCTGCTCCCTGACGTGACTAAATGTGACATAACGTGGATTTTCCAACAGGTTCAGGTTGGAACCCATAGTTTTGCCTTTGTTTTGTATTTGTTTGAATGGACTTTTGTGATTAGAGATATTTGTGTCTGTGTTGCCAGTCGGCTTGTCCGTTGCCTACTTCCTGTCCTGTGCTTGGTGAGGCTGCGTTGATGGCGTATTACAACAATGACAAGTTCATGGAGGAAATTTGGAAATTCAGTGCAGGTTACAATGTTGCAGTGCATTAAAACACAATTTCTGTTTTTTGTTTGAAATTCTTTGCCCTGTACATTATCGAGGTAAAAAAAAAAAAGGAATCTACATGAAAAAGTTGACACGAATAAATTAGCTCTTGCCGAGGTTCTACCTCATTCTCTTAAATTTTTTTGGGCCCAAAGCGGGACATTTTTGTTTGTCTCTCGCGATTGTTATGAAAGACTCCATTTGTTTGACGATGCCCACTGTTGCCAGGGAAACCCACATTCCCCAGAGTGCTGTTCATGTTAATTGTTTTATTCCTCCCGCTCTCCTCCTCTTGCTTCTGGCCAGAGACACAATCGACCAAGTGTGAATGTCCTCCTGGGTTTGAATTCACTCTTGTTGTGTCCCTGCGTCCGTCGTCCGTCCTCCTTTTGTTGTTTGTTTCTGTCTCTCTGCCTCTCAGGCACTCTTATTGGAATCATCTCTCCCCTCCTGTGCCTCTCCTCTCACACGTCCCATGCGGCCACGAAACAGCTGTTTGACCCAAGCAGAAAAAAAACCACCGAGGTCTTTTGAGAAGTTATTCGCTGTGAAATCCGCGGGGGAAACGTGAGCCAAGGTTAAAGTCTCTGGCAAAGCCAAAAGGGAAGATCACTTAGCTGTGGGCCAGAACATTTGATCCAGAACTTTTAATGATCAACACTGTCTCACTCAGCTGCTGCTGCGAGAAGGGGAAAAAACTCCAACACTCCTAGTGCTTAGAACATTCCGGGAATTATTGTGCCATGATGCCTCCGAGTTTACTGTTTGGAGGGTTCACTCTCCTCCACCCTGCATGTTTACTGATGTTGCACAATAATATTGATGACTGCATAGCAACAAGACAAGTCACTCGGTGTCGAGGAGGCCTGTTGCCTCAACGATTAGCCGGAGATAAACGCTTGACAAACTGAAAGTAAATCATTGGAGCTCGCCACAAACGCTGCACTTTTTCTGCTGAGCCGCTGATTTTCCCGCACCTTAAAATCTGCTAGTGAGGCAGAGACGTTGAATTGCTAAACTTGATGTCATGATCGCAGTCAAAAATGGCTGATTGGTAAGAATTTCAAATAAAATATTCCAATATTGCTGGGTTTATGGATTACAAAATGTGGGTGTAGAGAGATCATGGAATTTCTCCATCCAAGACATTTTATTTTCAACTTTTTTTAACGACCAGTGAAGCGTCTTTCTGTCCGCGTTTTGACCTCTCCGTTGCACGTCCACTCAGTGCAGTCATGTGGATATTCTGTCAGTGGTCAGTGATGGATTTGAAGTCAATTCCCGATTCGCATAGTCACTAAAGAACAGGTCCAAGGCCTGGTGTGAAAAAGTTCACACGGTGCGAACACACACACACACAGATGTTCTGTTTCGTTTCTGATGATTGCAACAATTTGAGTCATTAAAGTTGGCTGTGGGTAAAACCCTTTGGCTGGCAGCATATTTACCCTGCCTCAGGTTCTTGCGAAAGAGCTGTCGAAAAAACATTCATGATATCCATCAGGAGCTGTGGTTTTAAGTTGTTTTTTTTTTTTTTTATATAACTTTGTTTCTCAACATCTAGTGTAATTTGTTTAATGTAGAATCTAACAAAACTTTTCTCCTTTGGGGGTATTTTTCTCTTCCACAGTCTGACGCATTGTTGGCCTCAAAAAGCAATTCCATCAACAACAATGATGCTTTTATTTGAACAATTGCTGCATGATGGTCATGGTCACGGTCCACCTTAAACAGACTGGTCATCTGAAGGATTGTTCCATTCCCTACTAATTGTGGGCAGAGTCAAGAGGTCGTGAATAAAATGCACGACTGCTTCAGCTCTGGCTCCAGTTTCTATTTCCGTTGCCTCCTGTTACATGTTTGAAGTTTAAACAAAGAGGGTTTGTGTAGTTTAAAACCAATGCTGACAGTCGTAGAGAATAAGATGGGAAATCCCCTTTAACTGATTCCAAATTTAAAAAAAATTTTTTTTTTTTGATAAGAGACTTAAGGATGGAACTTGAAATAGTCAAGTTCCATTTATTGAGTTTATTTCTTGATTAATAACATCTGTCATATATGTTAGTCTCAACTTCATAATTATTCTCCTATTTTCTAGTCTACCTTTGATTTTCTCTCTGCGTCCGCAGGTCATAGTGAATTTCCAAATAAACCATAACAACTGATGGAACTGATCGGGACAAAGTTTATCTAAACATCGATCCTGTTATAAATCGAAGGAGAATCAGTTGTGTTGTGTTGAGACACCATGACCAGAAAAGGGTGATTTCAATATTTTTTTTTTTCTGATTATTATTTTAAATGGATATGTTAAAATGTGAAAGTGAAGAACTGGCCATTCAGAAGCTTAATGGAAATGTGAAAGTGAAGTCCTTGGTAAATTAATGACAATGTATCGAAGCTAAGCTAATCATTTATCATGATTAATTAATTTTATTAATAACAATTAATTGCTTGACAACCCTGGTTAAAAATT